CCGCCCCCACCCCCATCCCAGCGTCTGGCCAGCACACAACACGGTCACTCACAGAGGGTCTTTGAGTCTTCTGAGCCTGACCTCAGTGTCAATACCCACTTGATGCCCCGCCCTTTTCCACTGACCCTCCGCTATGCTAGGGGCTGGGGGTAGAACCTGAGGTGTCCCCCCCCACTCAGAGCTGGGGTGGGGCAGAAGGAAGCAGGAAGGCACCAGGTTGTCATACGACCAGAGATGGAGCGCGGACTAGGGCCCTGACGGGTGTGGAAGGACTGCCACTGGAGATGGGGGATTGGTGGGGCCGTGCCCCCGAAACCCGATCCGCGGTGGGGCGCCTGACAGGATTCTGGGCCTCAGTTTCCCCGGGCGGGAAGGGGGCGAGCGAGCGTCCTGTCAGCACCGCGGACAGCTCCCCATCGGCCTCCAGGCCCGGTCCTCTGCTGACGCCTCCGCCCGGCGCTCAGGCCCCAGCCCTGCTGAAGACGTGACCTTGGCCTCCTCGCTGCGCCCCCAGCCTCAGTTTCCTCTTAAATTGGGGATGTTAGAGCCGCAGGGTTCAGAACGATTACAGAGGCCGGCAAAGAGCTCGGGCCCGGTGGGATGCACACTATGAACCTCAGCGTCGGTGAATGTCGGGAGTCGGCCCTACGCTGGGAGCCCAGAGGGGAAACTGAGGCAGTAAAAGGTGCAGGGCGTGGCCCGGCCCCTACCCGCCTTGTACGGGACGGACCCTCTGCAGGACGGTCCCCCGTTGCAGTCCCCCCGCCCCAGCTGCTCTCTGTGTGCGCGCAGTGGGGAGGGGTCGGGTGGGGGGTCTCCCTCGGAGACCTGGAGCTGGGCCCGGCGAGGCCGCGCTTGCGCAGACCCGGGGTGGGGAATTCGCTGCGACGCGGGGGAGGGGCTCCCAGCCAGGCGAGCAGCCTGAAGCAGTTTCCCTGGCAACGGTCTCCGCGGCAACTGCGCGAGACCCCAGACCCGTCAAGCCTCGTGCGCGTATCGGAGCGCCCCCCACGCCCTACCTGGTCCCCGAAGAAGGCCGAGTGCAGCAGGCTCAGCAGCCCCAAGAGCCCCATGGAGCCGCGGCCGCCCCGGACCAGCCCGCGCCCCGCCCTCGGCCGCTCGGGTAAGGGGGGGGGGAGGCACGTCCGAGACTCCCTGCGCCTGCGCGGAGGGACTGCGGGGAGGGCCCGCTCCGCGGGGCCGGGGCGGGGACTCCTGGGCAGGGGGGGCGACCAACGAGCGGGTCTGCGGGGCTTCGCCGGAGGGGGGGCGGGAGTCTCGCGGGACTGAGGACTCGGAAGAGGAAGGTGGGAGACTGGAGAGGGGTGGGGGCGGAGGAAGAGCGGGGAGGGGCTCACCGGGGGGCTGGGAACCCGGAGCGCGAGGGGTCCCAAGGAGAATGGAGCTTCGGAAGGATGGAGGGAGGCGCCGCCCTGCGGCCGCAGTCGGCTGCCCGCTGGGACAGTGGGCCCGCAGCAACCAGGCTCGGGCTGCGCGCTCAGGCCATTGGCCATTCAGCGAACATTTGCCGCGCGCCTCCTGTTTGCCGGACTCTGAGCTGGGCGCTGGGTACGGAGGGGGCTTGTTGGCCCACACTACACGTAGACAGACATCCACTGAAGTCATTTAAGCAGTATCCATCGAGCACCTGCTGTGTGCAACAGTCAAAACCCTGCTCGAGGGAAACGGACACACTGGGAGGAGAGGGAATGACAGTAAGTTGGCTGCCGGTGAGCGCGGAAAACAGCAGGGAGGTGAGGGCGTGGAAGGCTGCGGGGAAGGGCACTTGACAGACCCGACGAAGAGCGTCCCGGCACAAGGAACAGCCAGCGCAAACGGAGGAGGCAGGCGGGGACGAGGTGTGTGGGGGAGGGGTCGCGCAGGGTCCCGTGGACGTGGAAGGCCTTGGGCCCTTACTCGAGGGACCTGGGAGCCCTGCAGGGCTGCGGGCTGAGCAGGGACCGGCCCGACTCGGTGCTCACCGGCGCCCCCTGACGGCAGCGGGGAGAACAGGGCGGAGGGCACTGTGCTGGTCCAGGAGGGATGAGGGTGGGAGGTAGAGGGGAGTCCCGGAGGAGCGTTATTAGGAACTGTGGTAAGTCCCGGAAACGCAAACAAGCAGCAAGAAGAGAAGGGCGCTCCCTTGGCCTCTGCAAGCAGGTGCCCTGAATCAGTGGTAGGGTACTCAGGCAGAGGGCACAGCCCATGCAAAGGCTGGGAAGTGAGGACCAGCAGGGGGAGGGGGTGGATGCAGGCCAGCAGGGTCTGGTGGGACACTCGAGGACTCCGGGTGCTGTTCTACTTATTTCAAATTGATGAACAGGTGAGAAGGTAGAGAAGGGGCCAGATGCAGGACAGGCTTCCAAAGCAGCTGGCCAGCTAGGCGGGGTGTCCAGGCAGAGCCCCAGGGTGAGAGCTGCCTCTGACTGAGGTAGTGGGGATGGCAGGCAGGTTGGGAGAGTCAACTCTGGGTGTGGGGGCTGCAGCCCAGTGCAGCTGGACCGGAGGATCAGACTCAGAGGGCACAAAGGCAGGAATGGAGCTGGGAGGCCTGAAGGCAGAGCCTGGGCCTAAAGCCAGCAGATGACGCAGGATCCTACCCCACAGCCGGGCACCTAGAGTGCCACCTGATGGCTGGGGTGTAGGTCTCAGTAGGACTCCGTTCCTTCCGCTTGGAGCACCAACAGGCATTGTCCCCCAATCATACCTAATTGGTTAATGTAAATTTAAACTGCATTAAAATTAACAACGGTATAACCACTGACCACTCCCACCCTGAGCCCACTAAGGTGGCCTGTGGTGGCCATGCTGGAAGCTTCCAGTGAGGGTTAAAGGCCCTGAAGGTGGGAGACACCAATGCTGCTGTCATAGGGAGGGTCCTGCTTGTTTTTATACAACACAAGAAACTGTTAGACAAAGGTCCAGTGGATTTGGTGCAGGCCAGTGGCGTGAAAGCGTGGATGGTGGGCCCTTCAGTCCCAGGGCTGCCCACTGCCTCGAGCTGAGCGGGCACCAACCCCCAGCTGGCATTCACTGCCATTATTCCCATGCCCCTCAAGAGGAGGACCTCAGACACTTGTCTGCACGTGCCTTTTATCCCGCACATGGGCCCAGCGGCCTAAGAACTGTCCAGTTGTATGGCTTTTCATGCTCAGGATCAAAAAGCACTTTCCAGTGAAGGCACACATTCACCCTGGGCATTCTTCTCCCCCTTGCCAAGCTTATGTAGAAAATGTTTCTTCTATTCAATTTAATTATGAAAATTCCAAAAAGGGGCACTTGCGTGGCTCAGCCGGTGAAGCGTCTGCCTTCAGCTCAGGTCATGATCCCAGGGTCCCGGGATCGAGTCCCGCTGGGCAGGGAGCCTGCTTCTCCCTCTCCCTGCCACTCCCCCTGCTTGTGCTCTGACAAAATAAAACAACAAACCCTAATTTTAAAAATTCCAAAAATAAAGATGAAAACAGGGAAGAAAACCGTAAGAGACACTTAATTCTAGGAACAGGGTTGCTGGGGGGGGGCGGTTAGGGGGGTGTGGGAGGGGGTCACTGGGTGATGGGCACTAAGGAGGGCACATAATGGAACAAGCACTGAGTGTTGTATACAACGGATGAATCATGAAATTCTACCCCTGAAACTAGCAAAACCTCCAAAGACAAGACAACTGAGACCACAGGGAGCCCTCACCTTCCCCTGGGCCAGGTGAGTCTGAGGTCACGCAGAGGCCTCTGCAGCTCCCAGGGACGGCTGTGTGCATGGGGTCCACCAGTCTCTGCAGGCAGCAGCTCTGACAAAGGCCTCAAGACCACGAAGCGCTGGCCTGCCCGTGTCCCATCTCACACCCGCCAAATCCGCAGCGCGGGCTGGGAGTTTCTGGTCCACCTCGCCGCAGTCAGACCAGGGTCCGGGGACGGTCAGAGGACCCCCGGCCCCTCCTACCAGCCCACACGGCCTTCCCCGGCCACCCTTCCCGCCAGGCCTGGAACCAACCATGTCCACACGGCTTCTGTGGGGGCTTTAGAAACGAAGTTGAGGCCAAATGTTTTGATTCTGCCAGTTCAGATACTCGGCCCTATTTCTCGCAGTACTGTGCTCTCCTGGGGCTTTTTAAGAGCGCGGGCTCCCAGGGAAGAGTGGCGGACAGGCTGCAGCTACACTTGCGGGCCGTCTGGTCTCCACACTACGGTTCCTCTCGCCGAGCCACGAGAAGCATGTGCCATCCTGTCAGAGCCTGCCCTGCTCTGCCTTCTGCTACAAATTACAAACACAACAGCCCCAGCTTTCTAACTCAACTCACTGCAACTCGAGGTAACAGTGTGAGCCCATTATGCTGCAACCCGGAGATAGAGTCCAGAAAAAGAGCAGCCGGAGGGCACAGCAGTCATCACTGGGGGGAGTAGGGAAAGGCAGGAGGCTCCTTTTCATTCCACTGCCTCCGCTCCCTGGCCTCCCCTCCGGAGGTGCAGCCACCTTACCGCTGCTAGACGCACAGTAGGCACCTCACTTCACGCCTCCCTGCTGTCCCCACGCCAGCTTACTCAGGCCACAATCAGGATACCACCTCGCCAACCCCCCCACATACGTCGGTCAGAGTCACAGGAAGCGCCGCCTGGACAGTTACACCCGGTCCACAGAGGCTTCTGCCCCCCGCGGCCTGCAGATCTTCTCCGTCGTGAAGGAGACAAATTGGAGCAGAAACACTTTAGGGAGCAGGGTTGAGACCTTGCATCAAATCCTAAGGGGGTACTGGGTGAGCTCACCCCGGGACACCATGGGAGACCCAGGGGACTCAAGACGGCACGGCGAGGGACGGGGTAGGTGTGTGCAGCTGGAGGGAGGGCAGAGGCTCGAGGTGTGCAGAGGCTCCTGCCAATCATTCGCTTCAGCTGTGGAAACCACCCCCCGTGATGGAGAACGTGGGAGGAGGAGGAGCCCCAGAAGGGCATGGCAGCTCCCCACGAGGGTCTGGGGCTGGAAAGTGAGACGCTAGAGCACAAGACGGCACAGGACCCTGGGCTTGTCTCAGGGTGCCAACAATGCGTGCCCACAGCAGGAAACCAGGGCCACGGCTGGCACAAGTCTCGTAGGACCCGAGGCCCCAGGTGGCGGACACCAGGAAGGAAGAAACGCTTGGACTCCGGACTAGACCAGTCTGTGCCTTTATTGGGCAGACGGGCTACTTGAGGGGAATGAAGCGGGACGAGTGCGTGGCCCCGATGCCCGGCCTGCCGTGCTTCACAGGCTTGTAGGTGATGGAGAACTCGCCCAGGTAGTGGCCGATCATCTCGGGCTGCGAGGGGGCGAGCAGGGCAGGGCGTCAGGTGACGTCAGTGGACAGGATCCCCGCCCCCCGCCAGGCCAGCCCCGCACGAACCTTGATTTCCACCTGGTTGAAGGTCTTGCCGTTGTAGACCCCCACCATGCTGCCCACCATCTCCGGCAGGATGATCATGTCCCGCAGGTGCGTCTTCACCACCTCGGGCTTCTCCATCGGCGGCGCCTCCTTCTTGGCCTTGCGCAGGCGCTTGAGCAGCGAGTGCTGCTTCCTGCGCAGCCCGCGGTTCAGCCGGCGCCGCTGCCGCGCGCTGTACAGCTGCATCAGCTGCTCGCTGCGGACAGGGGCGAGCGCGGGCGGCCTGAGCCGGGACGGACCC